GCGAGGGCCCGTGGAGAACGCGGCCGAGATCATCGGGGGTGAGGGGCTTGACCGAGTCCGCGCTGGGCCCGAGGCAGGGCGGGCCGTGGCCCGAGCGCCCGCGCGCCTCGGCGGCTAAGTGTAAGATCCCGCGGTGCCAGCGCACGTCCAGGGCAGGCCGGCTGAACGGAGCCACCGCGCGCCCTCTGGCCCAGCCGGTCCCCCCCCCTGGTCTGGACCCCCCCTGGGCGCAGGGGTTCTCGTCGCTCCCCGCCCTGATGCTCGCCCTTTCCGCCTGTCGCGGCGGGCCTCCCAGAAGCGCCCGAGGTTGCTGCTTGGGGCGACGCCCTTGCCACTCGAGTCCATGCCTCTGCCCTTGCCTGCGCCGCGGTCGTCGCCCTCGCCCTTGCCGTTCATGCCCTTGGAGGCCTCCTCGAATCCTGGCGGAGGGTGGCTCGGGCTCCGAGGGCGGTCTGATTCGCGGACCGAGGGGCTTCGCTCCCGCTCCCGCCCGCGGCCGTCTCCCGGCGAAGGCGCCCCCGCGCCCCCCCCGCGGTGCTTCCGCGGGGGCGCCAGGGCGAGAGCCACGCGTGTCCTCGTCGGCGAAGCGGGCACTCGCCGATGGGCCGCGCCACGTAGGGCTCTTTGGACTGGCTGCTTCGACATCGCGAGCTCCGCAAAGACTGGCCAGGCCGTTTGCTCGCGATCCAGGGCCGCGGTCGGCTGGGCCCATCCTCGCAACGCCCGTCGGCGCTGACCTCGGCGGCCGCTCTGGGGGCCCAGCAGCCGCCGAAGGCGTTCGCCGGGCCCCCCCTTCGCCACCTGCTGCTCGATCGTCATGGCCCGCATCTCGGTCATCTAGTCCCGATGCAGCTCGCTGCGCTCGCGGCCCTCCGTGGCCGAGTCCCAGCCGCATGGGGCCGCGCTCAATGGTGCGCCGCCTTCCAGCCGCCATCGTTGTGGGACTGCTCGAGCGACAGCGCTGCAAAACTGGGTCATCGCGTCGACCGCGCGAGTCGCATTGCCGGCTAGGACCAGGTCGACCGCGGACGCCGGCGCTCTCATCTCTTGAACGTTCCACGGCGAGAGGGCCCCCTTCGCGCCCGGGGCGAACCCGACGGTCATCACGCGCGCGCGATGGGCTGCGAGTCGCCGCCGCGCCCGACCCCGCGCCCCCCGCGTGCGTGGCCATCTTGCGGAGAGCGCGCTCGGCGATATCGCCCGGCTTTTTCTCCAGCCGGCGCTCGGCACGGTCGCGCGCGGAGAGTCGGGCGGCGCCAAAACACGAGCGGCCACCTGGCGAACAACCTGACGACGAGCTCGCACAATTTTTGCTGCTCCTCTTTCTGTCCTTCTTCCTTGACCTCGCGGACCGAGTGCGCCGCGGGGGCTTCTCGCCGGCCCGCCCGTCTTCAAACAGCGGGGCTCGCGCGGCCAGCTTCGCCCGGGCCCCCCCCGAAGAACGGCGGCGATGGCGGCCGCCTCCTCCAAGCTTACTCTTGCGAAGCGTCGGTGAAGAGCTGTCCTCGACAATCTCTTCCTGCGCGGCCCCCTCGGTCTCCGCCTTCTAGCGTTGTAAAACGCGTGTTTTACATGTGTACAAACGTGTTCTAGTAGTGTTTCAAAACGTGTCTGTTGTATATATATATAACATCCTCGAAACATCAGTTGGACATCTGTTTATATATATATATATATTCCGCGGCGCGCTTCCTCTCCAGCATTCGACTTCGCTCAGCTAGCGGGCGCTGCCCCCCCCCCCCCCGCGACTGCAGCCGCGACCCCCTCCCCCCCCCTCTCCGCGCCCGAAAACACGCGCTGCGCGGCGCGGGCTCTTGCGGAGGGCGCGGAGGCGGCCCCGGAGCTCTTGGCCTCGCCCTTTCCCTGAGATCCGACGCTGCGAAAAAATTGCAACGCGGCAGAAAATCGCGACCCAAACCCCAGGCCACACCTCCCCGCGTCATTTTGTCGAGCCGGACCGATCTGCGAGGGCCCCGCACTGAAAAGCACACGCGAACCGTAAGTGCAGCTTTTTGAGCCCCCATTGTCATGGCCCAGACTGCATTCATTCTCTGTAAACGGCGGAATCCCAACGTTCTGATCTGGTTCCGCGCTAATTTCTTACACCCACGGTGGCAGACCTTGAAGTCTAAAGAGAAGGTCCGCGCAGATTTCTCGCCCCCCCTGCGGCGCGGAGCATGCCCAGGGGGGGCGCCAGAGGCGCCTGTCGGACTGACAGAAGATCGCACGGCAAGCGCTGGCTCCGCCCCCTGGTCCAGCCGACGCACGGCCTCCGCTCGCGCGCGAACCTGCAGACCTAGCGCGCTCGGCGCCTCCCCAACCGAGGCGAGCGGTTCCTGTTGCCAGCCCCGTCGTCGGCAACGAGCACGGCCTCGTCGCGACGAGGCTTGCCCGCTCGGCTCGTAGCTGCCCCGGGGGCATCGTCCTCCTCTGGCGTCACGGCGCAGGACAGCCAGGGCAACTTCGCGCAGCGCCGCTTGCCAATGCGCAGGATCGCACGCTCGAAGAGACCGCGACCACCCTCGCAGTCCTTGGGGCTCACACCCCTCAGACAGAAATGCAGAATGGCGGCGGCTCGTTCGGGCTGCGAAACGCCTGCCTGACCTCCGCCGCGTCGGCCGCGCTGCGGGCGTCGAGCCACTCCACCTCGAAGCACGGCACGAAATGGCGGCCGCCCTCGCCGTTCGACATGCCACCCGAAGGATACTGGGCCAGGCGGTGCACCTTGAAGGCCGCGCTGCCGTGGGCCACCTCGACCTCAACGACCTCAGGCATGCTGCCTTCGCCCCCCCAGCACCACTGGGTAGCACCCATGGTACCACGGGGATGGGCCATCGCCGTCGCGCCCTGGGGCGGCCCGCGCGACCGCCTCGCTCCGCCGCGGAGGCGTGGTCGCGTGCCGCGCGGGCCGAGGGGCTGCGCGCCCGCCACCGCCAGCGCCAGAATCACGTTGAGGCATGCGCTTGGCTGTGGGCTCGAGCCTGCGGCCGCCTGCTCCGCGGCCAGCACCCCTCAAGCGACCGCGGCGGCTGCGTCACCGCGACGGGCTGGCAGCGCGAGCCCATCGTCCTCGGCCGCGCCCGCGGCCGCCGCGGCCACGGCTCTCTCGGCCGCGCGGCGCGGCGGCAGGGCGCGCACGCACCTCAGGCGGCATCCCCGACGAGGCTCCTGCCCTCCGCGCTCGCTCCTCCTCGGGCGCGGGGCCGCCGCGTTCCCCCCCCCCGCGGGGCAGGCCTTCGGCCCTCCGCCCGCGGGCGAGATCCTCGATGGCCCGCGCGGCGCACGCGGCAGCGCGCGCGCGGGGGACTCGAGGCACCTGCTTGGCCCCGAAAAGCTGCAGGAATACGCGAGGGGGGGAGGGCGAGCGCACAAAGACACGAGGTAAGAGTCTATGGAGAAGGCCCTAAGAAGCGGCCCCCGTGTAAGAAGCCTTCCCCCCTGGCCCATGCCCCCCTCTGCGCATGGCCGAAACACATTGGGTTCCCAATGGCCCAGGCCGCCCGTACCGAGAGGTGGCGGTCCGCACCTCTCCGGGAGAGCCGAACCCCGCCACCCTTGGCCCGCCGCTGCAGCAACCACGGAGGCCCAGAGAGGACGACGGCGCCTGCCGCAAGACCCCGGCCTCTCGGCGCGATTGGCGACGTCACGACGGGCATGTTATCTCTGTTTGGGGCAATCAGAAGCGGGGATTGCGCGAGCTGACGCAGCGACCTTGCGCGGTGGCTCACCCGGGCCATCGGCGCAGCACACAACTTTCGCGCGTCCTTTCGCGGGCAGCTTGCGCGCCGACAACGGGGCAACCGACCCCGCTGGGTGACCTGGGCCCTCTCAGGTGGACCTGAGTCAGAATTCAGCCTGCCGGTGGACCCAGCCCTGTATTTTGTTTTTTCTTTTTTTTGTGTTTTTTTCTGTGGGCCCAGCCCTGTGTAGATGGGCGTCGCGCATGTCGTGGCCCTCTCGTCCCATGCTGCGCCACGCAGGACAGGTGTGGATGAGAGGCAACGCGGTAAGCGCGCAGGTGCATGCGGAGCTCCGGGGCGCGAAACGCGCGAGTGGTGTGCCGGAGTCTGTGGGGGGGCGCCATGCGGGCTCTGCAACTGGAGCCTTCGGTGGAGTTCCCTGCGGGGCAACGAAGCGTGTGAGGAATGTGCCGACCTGGGCAGGGGGAGGGGTGGGGGGCGCCATGCAGACTTTGCGCCTGGGGCCTTCGGTGGACTTCCCTATGAGGCCACCGAACGTGTGGGGTGTGCCGAACTGGGCGGGTGCTCTCTGGGGCCTCCGCTGGAGCTCTCCATGGAGGCACGGTCCGTGTGAGAGATGTGCCAACATGGAGGGAGGGACCGCATGCAGGCTTTCTCATTTGGCCGATCGGCGTAGTTACCTGCGCGGCACGATCCGAGCGTGGGGTCTGCCAAAACAGGCGGGGGGGCCGCGTGTGAACTTCCCCACTGGGGCAGTAGGTGGAGCTCCCACTGGGAGCACGATCAGCGTGAGATGGTGTGCCGAGTTGGGCCGGGGGGGCTCGCGCGAACTTGCACACTAAGAGCGTGATTCGAATCATCCGGTAGGGCAAGATCCGAGTGAAGGGTCTGCCAAAATTGGCTGGGGGCCGCACGCGAACTTGCCCGCTGGGGCCGTAGGCGGAGCTCCCTACGGGGGCACGATCCGTATGAGGTGCCTGCCGAAATAAACCTGCGGAGAGGAACGAGAGGAGTGAGGTGGGGCGCTCAATGCGGATTCAGAACGAAAGCCCAACTTCCGCAGAAGGTTTGGAAAACGTTGAATAGAACAAGGAAGAGGGAGCAGAGGGATGTGAGGAGACGGAAGGAGACGCGCGGCGCGGCGGATTCAAAACGAGGACCCAATTCCACACGGGAGGGTACAGAAATATCGCTTCACTATGGGGGCGTGAGCTCCGGCGGTCGATTTCGATGTCGTCGCATCTTTTCATGAGGCCCGATCTCTACGGATTCTCGCTGCCCGCCCCATCAACTACGGTCCTGTGGGCGTCCAGGAGCTCATGGTGCACACGGAGACCACGTCGGGACTGCTAAGGCAGCCCAGCACCTGCAGCGGAGAAGGAGGAGGGAGAGGCGGAGGATGATGATGAGGAGGAGGAGGAGGAGGAGGAGGGGGAGGGGGAGGAGGAGGGGGAGGGGAACGGGGGAGTTGGAAGGGGGACGAGGAGGAGGAGGAGGCTTGTTCAATCAACGCTATCATGTTGTAGGAAACCTCTTCGACGGGCAGCATCAAAATCAGTCGGTCGTGGTCGCCTGCTTCTCTTCAGAAGCTCCCTCAGAAGGGAGGAGCACTGGGAGGAGGTCAATAAGATCCAGGAGGAACAAAGGAGCAATGGGAGGAGGTCAGTAAGATCCAGGAGGAACAAAATCGCAGACACTAGTAAACCTCGATTCACGGAACATATCGGAAAATGTTGGAAGTGGAGGGTATACGAACATCGAGATGATATCAATAACAAAAAGGGGGGTCCTGGGGGTTGTGTCTTTCTATGTCTATGTCTGTGTCCCTGGGCCCCTTCAGAGATCTCCAATCGTCGTGGAAAGATCAAAATCGGAAAGAAATAAGACTCGAGCTGGCCTGACGGAGCCGTGAACAATCATGACGAGATCAATGTGAAATATGGCGCGAACTCCCGCTGCAAACATCCAACGAAAATTGGACCGCGACGGTTCAAAACGGACCCCCGTCCGAAAGCGTCGGTAAACCCGAACTCCGGCGAACTTGAGTCTTACGTTTCCCCGACGGAAGGCCAAACGCAATCAATGAAAATACGTGCAGTGGCACAGCTTGCAGGCTGCCCAGAGCGCTTCCCCGAACTACTGAACATTGGATGCGGGTTCCAAGGTCTCCTGACCGTTGTGTGCAGCAAGTGCGCACCTATATGTTTTGCCGTCGTCTGCGTAATAACAAATCCGCCAAGGCGCTCCTGCGCCATCAGAAGCCGACTTCTGCGGCCAATCGGCCCAACATTGAAGAATGCTCCTTCTCATAATCTGCGTAATCCTGCTCCTCCCCGTCATTCTCTCCCCTCCCTTTTCAGACACCTCCTGGCACTGGCGACGAGCACCAAAAGAAACTGCAGAATGCTGCCAAAAGCTTGACAACAGGAACGGGTCAAAGGACGAAGGCCCTCTCAGGTCTCGACCGCGCATGGACGAACGAGGAACGCCACGGGGGAAAACTTATGTTCTACCCTAGTCCCTAACGCAGCCTGACGCATAGAAGCCCACGCTAGATCCGAAACCCTGATGCTTCTCTCGGCGGCGAGAGAGTAGCGGAAGCGAGAAGGTGCGGGCCTTCTCAGAAGGCTCGGAAGTCCGCCAGCCTTCTAAGAAGTGCTCTAAGCCTCCCCCGAAGACAAAAAGCATCTCCGAAGGCGCGAGAGCTCCTCAGAAGTCCCGCCGCCTTCGGAGAAGGCATGCTCCTTCTCATTTCCCCCCCTCTCTCGCCGCAGAATCTCGAACAGCGCTCGGAGCCAAAGCGGACCGCGCCCCCGAATCTTGGCTGCACCTCGGGATCCCTCCCCCTTGGTCCTCCTCCTGCGGATAGACGGTCCGTCGCCACGTGCGGACCCTCCCTCGCTCTACCGCTCGCCCATCAGACGGCACCCCGTCGGAGTCCGACCTGGGCTGACGGCATTCCTCCTCCTCCTCCTCCTCCTCCTCTTTCTACTCCTCCTCCTCCTCCTCCTCCTCATCCTCCTCCTCCTCCTCCTCCGTGCTGATTGGCTGGGCCTGCGGTGCGGCCGCCAGCTCTCGTCGTCGCCCTCCTCCTCTGGACGAGCCAGGAGCGGCATGAGCAGCAACGTCTGGCGATCCGAATCGATCTCTGGGGTCGGCGCCAGAATTGCCGCCAGGGGGGCCCAGCGCCGACCGGAAAAATCCTCGCGGTCCGAGAGTCAACGTTTGTGCAGAATTTGTCTGTCTTCGACCCTCTGGCCTTCCGAGAAGCTCTCCGGGCCGGCTCCGAAACCATGGAGGGCTCCTCAGAAGGTCGGAGGTTCTCTGCAAAACCACTAAATTCTCCAGAACACTCTGGGACAGAATCCGCTCTGCGATGTTGGCGCCATGACCCTCGCAGGAGGGGGAGAAGGTTAGAGGTAGAAGCATCTGCATCAACATACGGCAGGTTCGTGTCGTGACGACCCCGGCGTTGGTTCCTGACACCGCGCGGACCGTTCAACCTGGAACGATCGGCGGCTTTTCGATCGCCCGATCGTTCGATGCGGGCCGATTCTGGGCCGCTGGCGGCGCTCAACCTTGAACGCCCGCGGCGGGGTCGCCGCCGGTCGGCACGACGCGAACCTACTGCGTATAAACTTTCGGAGGTCCGCGCCAATTCCTTGGCTCTGCGCTTTCACTCCCCTCCCTGGCGCGCGGCGCGTGCCAGGGGCGGCGCCGGAGGCGACGCCGGGGGGCCGGGGGGGTCCAGCGCAGATCTAAGAAATCTGCGCGGAGCGCCGAAGTTCATGTTGATGTAGAGGAGGAGGAGGAGGAGGAGGCGGAGGAGGCGGAGGAGGCGGAGGAGGCGGAGGAGGCGGAGGAGGAGAGGAGGAGGAGGAGGAGGAGGAGGAGGCGGAGGAGGCGGAGGAGGCGGAGGAGGCGGAGGAGGCGGAGGAGGAGGATGAGGAGAAGGAGGAGGAGGAATAGAGGGGGAGAGAAGAGGACGGAGGGAGGCAGAGCGCTGGAGAACGGGAGCATGCCGCAGACCGATCTACCCTTTCCCCGACCTTGCCCTGCGCCAGGCGCAGCGGCCGCGTTGTCTTTAGCCGCATCCATCCCGAATGCGTCTTAGCATGCGACGTAGCGACACCCCATGTGCCCAGAGACGCTGGTTGATTTGCAACGAAAGGACCCTGACCCTTGGGGAGGGGACGTACGTTAGGAGGGCCAAATACATCTGGAATTGGGGGGCTTGTCTGCAGATGTATCAGAGCAGACTTCTCATCCCTCATCATGCGAAGATGGTGCCTTGAGCGAGGCCACGTCTTGACCGTGCTCTTGGGATCAGGTTGTTGTTGTTCTCTGGGTTACATGTGGCCAGGAAGTGAGAATGGCATTCGGCACAGCCAGGGGATGATGTTTGGACTATGTTTGACCACTTGGCATTTTCTGACCACTTTTTATTTTCTCTCCCGAAAAGCCCGCCTGCGGGGGGAGATGCCCGAGCTAAGAGTAGTCTCTCGCCCTGGATGACTTTGGGATGGCCCCGAGGCCCGACGACGGCCTCCGGGTGCCCGGGTGCGGCCCCCGGAAGCCGAAGTCTCGGAGGAGCTGCCCAGATGGAACAAGTCTGACCACCTACCCAAACCACCCCAACCCAACCCGAAGACCCGAATTTGACCCGAATTTCCGGTTGGGGGGGGTACGGGTTCCACGTGTTTTTTCGATGTCCCCCGACCCCCCCCACTGGAAATGGAGGGCAAATCGTTGCCTTCGGGTTGGGTTGGGGTGGTTTGGTGGGCGGTGAGAATCAGATTGTCAGACCTTCTGGCGACCCGAATCCTTGGCGTCTGTTCCACGGGACTGCGTGGCCCCCGGCGTTGCCCGATTTGGGTTGGATTTGGGCTAGATTTGGGGCACATCTGGGACCGGATCTGGACCGGACTCGCCCGCTCACGAGGAAGACGAAAAGAAGAAGGAGGGGCCAGAGAAGCAGGGGGGGCGAGGAGGAGCAGGAGACAGGGCCAAGTGCGGTCCAGATGCAGGAAAAACGGATTTCAGTGTCGCCTCCCGAGGCTCCCATCAACAGACATCGAACCGACTCAGATTCGGCATATAATGGCTTTCTAGAGTTATGTTGTTCCCATCCTACTTAAGGACCGCATCCCAGAAATAATTTCGAGCACCCAGAAAAGTGTCAAAAGAGTGTCGAAACAGTGTCGGGCGAGTGTCTCCCAGGGCCCGACACGTGAAAACCATTGGGTTTCGGTATTGTTCTTGGCGCTCGAAATTCTTTCGGGTGATCAAGGCTAAAGTAGGTTGGAGCATCATAATTCTAGAGAAGCAGGCGGGCTCCTTTTGTGTTGCCGCTCAGGGGGGGCGAGCTGTGTGGAGGGCGGACGGCCCGACGCGAGGGACCCGTCGCCCGGCCGAGGCGCGCCCAGAGAGGCCCGGGAACGGGGGCTGCTAAAGTAGTGGGGCCCAAGGACACGCACATATAAACATACACACGAATCCAAGGATTTCCCTATATTTTTCAAGATTTTCTGGATTGTCGTCTTCCCCCCCACTTCCCACACTTTCCCATCATTTTGTCTGTGTGTTTTTCCCCTCCTGACAAACGTGTCCCTGGCCCAAGGTGCCCCCAGCTTTTTCGCTCAGGTCTGAAGCCCCTGGGGCCCCCCTGGGCCTCGTGAGGGGCGCTCTGGAGGCAGAGGCCAGGGTGGCTATGGGCATCCTCGGGGCACCTTGGGGCGGGGCACTTCTGAAGGGGCCCTGGGACACACGAATAAATACACAGAAAAGAAAAAGACGCCCCATAGTTTCCCATATCTTCTGGGTTTTTGTCTTCCCCCCCACTGCCCATACTTTACCATATTTTCGGGGGAATCGACGATTCATTGTGTCTGTGTGTTTCTTTCCCTCCCGAACTCCTGGCATCACCCGAGAAAAGGAGCCTGCGCGTCCACGCCGGCGGTGTAGACGCACTCGCCCATGGAGCGCGGCAGCAGGTCGTTCGGCGTGCCGCTGAAGCCGAGGCACATGCCGCCCAGCTGCTTGCCTGGGCGCCCACGGGCATAGGCGAGCGCGCTCCACGACTCGCAGAGTGACTACTCGCAAATGGCATGCATCCGCCGGGGGGGATCTGCTAGAAATTACATCGAAGTAGACGTGTGTGTGTGTGTGTGTCTGTTTTTTCGGACGTTTGCGAGTGGGGACTTTGCGAGTAGTGGAACGCGCTCGGTGAAGGCAACGGGGGTCTGGCAACCCCAATCCCCGGCCTCTTGACTGGACCACCAATCTGACGGTCCAAACGCTGGGATACATACGATGGAGGGGAGCCCATCGTCGATGTGGGGTGGGCCCGACCAGCCCCCTGGGGGTGTAGCCTTAAGCTCCACCCTATCTGAGCGGCCCAATTGTTCGGGCAGACCCCGTGGCTTGGGAGAGAACAGTCGCCTGCGACCAGAGATTCTCGAAGCGCCCCCAAAAGGATCCAGGCCCTGAGGCCCGAGCGCTGCAGATGTCTCACGCCGGGCGCTTTCGCCTGCCGGCGGGCCCCAGAACCATCGCAGGCCGATCCGGCTCGGAAAATACTGCAGAAGGATGGTGTCTCGGGCTCGGGCTGCGATGTTTCGCGACTCGAGAACCGTACACACACGTACACACAGAGAGACACACACACACACAAACACACACACACACTTTTTGCGTCGGCGGCTAGGCAGAGTGACTGCGCTGGCGGATAGGGCAACTGTAGGGTATACAATTGCTAATTAAGCCGCGGTGCATGTGAGGAAGAGGGGGGAGGACCGGCGCGGGCGGGAGGGACACGGAAGCCAGGCCCGCTCAAACATTCACACACACACACACACAGACACACACACACAGACACACACACACACACGTACACACACACCGATGATGGCCAGGATGGACCTGGCCAGGATCGGCGCACGTGCATCATACAAATTGGGGGTCCCAAGACTGTGTGGCGACAGACCCGGCGGCGACCTCGAAATCCGCAAAGACCTCACCGCAGGGTCCGTCACCCCACGGCTTTGGGACCTCGGAGGCCCCAGTCGCCCGAGGCGTCCTCGGAGAACGATCCGAGCTTCAAAGCCGCGCAGTGACCCCGGACCCCCGACGACTGACTCGCCACAAGGCGCGGTCGCTACTCCGACCGTTTGGGGGCCCCCGAACAGTGCGCGTCGCCCGACGGGGAGCTCTCGGAGTGCCCTCGGGGGATCCGGGCACGGGCCGCCTGGCCTTGTGGCCGCGAGTTCATGGAGGGGCGACACACGTCGTTCACTTCTGATCGTGCTCGTTTCTAATTGTGCTCGGTTCTAGTTGTTCCTGGCCCCCTATAGTGGCCAGGAAGAGGCCCAGGATAGAAGAATTAGAAATGAAAGGATCTTGGACCCCCAAAAAATTAAAGAGCTCTCGAATACTTAGCCATGAACAATGTGTACATGGGGGGGGGAGAAAGGTGCCCTCCTTCGGGCCCCAGAGGCCCCCTTCTGGGTCCCAAGGGGCCCCTTTCGGCTTTCGGGGCCCAGGAGCGCCTGGGAGCGCCGGGGAACGCTTGGGAGCGCTTCAGGCCGGACAGGCGCGCGAGGACCACCCCCCCGCCAGGATATGCTGCGTATCGAGGCCCGCAACTGCGAGCGCCACGCCACGAGCACCCGCCGCGCCGACGCCTCCTCGCGACGATCTCGACCTCCCCCCTCCTCCTGTGGTGTCGCCGCCCAGCAGAAGGCGCACGAACTGGCGGTGAGATGCGCAGTAGACGGCCCAGGTTTGCCGGTCAGTCGCCAATCCTCGTCAGCTGCGAGTGGCGATGCGATTCGACGGGTTCGGGCTCGACTGGCTCGACGGCGGACCCGCAGGTCACCGCTGTGCGCGTTGCCAAGCAGCGGTGAAGTCTCTTCCCCGCTCCTCCCTGCCCTCGCTATTGCCATTTCAGTGCGTGGTATCCCTCCCTTTCCTCCTCCCTCGTCCCTCCTCCTCCCTGTCCTCCCCCTCGCCCTCCCCATCATTCCCTGTCCTCCCCCTCCCCCTCCCCTCCCCCTCCTCCTCCTCCTCCTCCTCCTCCTTCTCCTCCTCCTCATCCTCCATTCTTGCTTCTCCAGTCCTTTTCCTCATAAAGAATTTGTCCCTGTTGTACCCCGAGGCCGGTCGAAAGGGCGGGCCCGGTGTTCCGCCTGAGACTCCCTCACCACTCATGACCCTGAAGCTTAAACATTGGCAACAGTTTCACAGATGGAGGGCGGGTCGTTGTCAAAATGTGGCTCTCGCCTCAGCGCCGCGCACATGCGTTTGTGAAAGATTAAAGGGTTTCGCGGATTGAGGTCGGTTCCTTTTCAAGATGCGGCCCTCGCCTTAGCGCCGCGCGCATTCCTTTATGAAAGTTGCACGATTTTAACGAATTCACATGGTAAGCGTAACAGAAATGGCGTTTTGGACAGATTCAGCACTAAGAGGGTGCAACAGTTTCGTTGACTCCTCCGCCTCCTCATGCTCCTCCTCCTCCTCCTCCTCCTCCTCCTCCTCCTTGCGTCGAACGTCCGTCGCCTTGCGTCGAATTTCGGTCGAGCCTGAGTCGACGTAAGAAAAAAAACGGCATATTAATAAACCTACGACGGTCTGCGCGGATTTCTTGGATCTGCGCTGGACCCCCTCCCCTGGCGCGCGGAGCGCAGCGCCGGAGGCGCCGCCAAGGGGGCCCAGCGCGGGTCCGAGAAATCCGCGCGGACCGTCGACCGTTTATGCTCCTTTTCTCCTCCTTCGAATAGTGGAGTCGAGCCTCGCGTCGAACTCGAGTCGCCTTGCGTCGAATCTGAGCCGAATCTGCGCCGCCCTGCGTCGAGTCCGAGTCGAAGCGGAGCCGAGCTGGCGTCGAAGCCGAGTGGAACAGATCCGCCCGGCGAGCCCCCAACGAAGCGGGAGCGCCACGAGGTGCTCATGCTGTGCTTGCTCTCCCTCGAGACGTCGGCAACGCTCGTGGGGGCGACGGCGGGGGAACAACAGAAGCACGAGGGCCGGCAGCCCACGTGTCGCGCCCCTAGGCGCCCGCGGCTGAGGCTCGGGGCGCTACACATTACCCCGACACGCCGCGCCGCCGTGTGAGGGAGCCTGGGCCTCCCAGATGCTCCTCCTCCTCCTCCTCCTCCTCCTCCTCCTTCTCCTCCTCCTCCTCCTCCTCCTCCTCCTCCTCCTCCTCCCCCTCCTCCTCCTCCTCCTCCTCATCCTCCTCCTCCTCCTCCTCCTCGTCCTCCTCGTCCTCCTCGTCCTCCTCGTCCTCGTCCTCCTCGTCCTCCTCGTCCTCGGGACCGAGTAGATGGAGTCGGAGGATCGCGCCGCATCGCGGATACATCGGCGATGCGGCTCGATGCGGAGCCCGATTTTCGCCTCGCCGACGGCGGCGCTTAGTCGCCGACGTCGCCGATACATCGCCGACACATCGCCGACATCTCGGCGATGCATCGGCGATACGGCGCGGCCCTCCGACCCCATCTGCTCGGACCCCATCTGGGAGGCCTCGAGGGAGGGAGGGGTCAGAGTGCCAACGCTGCTCGAGATCCGCAGGATGGAGACGATAGACGTTCCCAGACCCCCTCGCGTTGCGGAAAAAACACGACGGGAGGTCTTTCGCTATTTTCGGTCTCCGGGGGCCCTTTTCTGGGCTTCGGGACCGTTAAAATAACTGAGGATGAGAAACCGGTCCCGGGGAAGGGTTCCAGACCTCTGGGGGTCGACGTAATGCAAAAAACACGGCGTCGGGGGTCTGGGTTTTCTCCACTCTCGAGAAGAGGCGGGGGGATGTAAACACCTGGGCCGAAAGGGCAGCCGATGAGGAGAAGAGATGGGCAAGAGATGGTGCGAACCTCCAAGTCCCAACCACGATGGACTGACGCCGGCATCATTGCCAGGTCTCGTGGTGTGTCTCGGCAGTCCCAGTGGTGCCCCAGGTCGCTCCAATGCCCTCCCCCTCGTCCCCTTCCCCCCAGTCGTCCTCGTCCTCATCCTTCCGTCGCCCCCTTCATAATGCATTATTAGCCTCCTCCTCCGCCTCATCCTCCTCCTCACCTCGGACACTGCGCCATTCAGCTCTACTCTCCTCCTCCTCCTCCTCCTCCTCCTCCTCCTCCTCCTCCTCCTCCTGCTCCTCCTCCTCCGTTTCCTCACCATCCCAATTCTGCCGCAAAACTTGGTCGTGGGGGGGCAGGATCTGTCCCCCGCGACTCGGCCACCTTCGTTGGACAGCCGTTGTGCTCAAGCACCCACTGGCCCCAGCAGAGTGCCCGAGAAACGGCGTATAGACGACAATTTGCAAGTTACATCCCCAGCACTGACGCAGAACTGCATGTCTTTCCTATTCCCTCCCACGCTCGCGCTCGATGGTGTGAGGGAACAGACGGAGGCCACTCTGCTGGAACGCACACGTAATTCTGGCACGGAGACGGCGGAAACCGTGACAAACCCTTCTCCCCCCTGCCCCTGTCTGCTGTTGGGCCCCTCACTCGTCCTTCTCTGTCCCCCCCTCCATTTCCCAGTCGTCTGTGCGCTCCCCGCCTAGAATGCGTGACATCTGCTGATGGTACATGGTAGCACTATCTACAGTCGTGCCACGATGCACCGCAGAGCAAACACACCAGAGGATTTACTAATCCAGGGCGCGCCCAAATTTGAAGCAAAAAGTCTGGTTAAAATGTAAGCATACACCATTTCCGTTTCACCATTACGAAATTCGCGCCATATCGTTGCGTCTTGCATCGTGGTGCGATGTATTTTCTCCGGGCTGAGAATGAGGACCTCCGTGTCCGCCAGGGCGGAACATCGGGCAGTTGTTCCGATGCAGGCCCACCTACCTACTCATAGCGCCACTCCGGGGCAGCTATCGTCACGGGTGACTGTCCCGCCCCCTTCCCTCCGTCGCATGGGATGGGCGGCCGGGAATCGCCAGCCCGCACTGTTGGACAAAGGATTCCCCATATTTCCCCGTATGTTCTGGATTTTTGTCTTCCCCCCACTTCCCATATTTTCGCATATTTTCCTGGGAATCGACGATTCGTTGTGTCTGTGTGTTTTTTCCCCTCCTGAAAGATGTGCCACTGAGTCCAGAAAGCCAGCCAATGGCCAGACACCGCTCGCGCCAGGCCATTCTCTGCTGCCTGGCCACTCTGTCCCGTCGGGCCACCGTGCCCTGCAGGGCGGTGGCACCTGGAGCTTGGGCCCACCAGCGGCGTTCCTGCGCCCCGAAGCCATACTGTCTCAAGTCCTCTCCCCGGGCCTCTCAGGACCGCTCGGTGATCCAGATGCCAAAACCGTTTCTGCGTTCAGTTCCCCTGGAGGGGTAGGACTGGGAGCCTGCTTTCCACTCCCAGAACTTTCCCGGAACTCTTCCGGAACTCGATAGAAAACAAGATCGGTTCAACCCTTCCCCTCCGGCCCACCTTACAAGTCTGCTTGGTGACGGCTGTGCTTTCGGCCGCTCGCGCTGCGCTCCCAGCTGAGAAATTCCGGTGCACGTGCAACTCTCCACAGGATGCCCTATAACTCGTTCTGGAACTCCCGAAGCCAATTTCCGTCGCAACATTCAAGTGGTTGGATGTATGCCCTGTGAGCTCCAAAAGACCTGGAGTTTCAAACTGCCGTCATCCTTTGGGGGGGCGCATCTTCTCCTGCATCCACCGTCGTCCGAAGGCCCTCTGGCTTGCCTCCGCCGGTGACGCCGCCCTCGTTCTGCTTCCGCCGACTTCCGCCGAAAAGAGATGCCCACCTCTCGACTCCTCGATTCAGCGAGGCCCCGTCTGGAACGCCTCATGCAGCTGGTCGGATGCCCGCTGGTGACGGACGTCTTGTTGCCCTCTTCGCTGCCATGCGTGGTGCCGGGGTGGCTCGGTCAAGGATTTGTCGTGCCTGGCGGTCTGGCGCAGTGAGAAGCAGTCGGACGACCAGGGGAGAGAACATCATGCGGCGCGCGGGCATCGTCATGGGTCGAGCGATGCCTGGCCCCCTGGGGGAAGGGACGACTTCCGCCGCCGCCTCCTCCTCTTCTCCGCCTCCCCCTCCGCCCTGCACACGGGCGGAGGATCAACGAGAATGATAGTAACAGCTCTTCCGAACAGGAGGGCGGTGCTCTCATCTGGCACTGGGAGGCGGGCGAACGTGGGAGCGGAACGCCAGTTAGGCTCTTATGAGACGGCGCGCAGTGGCAGCTTCGGGCACTGTGGCACTGCGTGCGCAGCGGAGGGCCACCAGCTACGATGTGTTATTGTTTTGGTGCGAGAAGGCGCGCGATGGCTGCACCGGGCGTTGCGAACAAGGCGACCGTGAGCGCGGGACACCAGCTACAACGCAGGCAAGGCATACACAGGAGAGGGTTATCAGCTACAATGCTGGTATCAGCTCTTGCGAGAAGGTCCGCAGTGCTCTCATCTGGCATTGCGAGAAGGGCGAACGTGGGAGCGGGGCCATCAGTTACAATGTTGGTAGCAGCTCTTGAGAGAAGATACGCAGTGCTCTCATCTGGCATGGCACGATGGGCGAAAGCAAAAGCGGGAAACCAGCTGCAATGCAGGTGTAGGATCTTGCGAGAAGGCACGCAGTGGCATATTGTGGCACTGTGGCAAGGCAGGGCAACGGTGGGCGCGGGACACCAGCTACAGTGCAGGGATCCGCTCTTGCGAACAGGCGCTCAGTTATATCTTCAGGCACTGTGAAAGGACAGTAACAGGGGCGGTTCATCAGTTATCAAGTTGGTGCCAGCTCTTGCGAGAGGGTGCGCAGTGCTTCCATCTTGCGTTGCGAGACGGGTGGAGGTGGGAGCGAGACGCCAACTGCAATGCAGGTATGAGCTCTTGCGACAAGGTTCGCAGTGGCAGCTTCCGGCACTGTGACAGGGCGAACTCAGTGGAGGACCATGAGCTACAATGCTGGTATATTTTATTGCGAGATGGCGCGCCAGTGGCTGCACCGGGCGCGGCGGGCAGTGTGACAGTGGGCGAGGGACACCCGCTGCAGTGCAGGGGTCCGCTCTTGGAGAAGGCGTGCAGCGGCAGCTTCTGGCACTGTGGAGGGGCAGACACAGAGGCAGGTTAAGCGCGAGGCGTATGTTGGGCTACAGCGCTGGTGTCGGCGCATAAGAGCTGGCAGGCGTTAGCGTGCGAGCCAGGTGCGAGGCGTTTGGGCGTGTTCAGCTACAGCGCTGGCATCGGGGCATCAGAGCTGGCTTGGCGCAAGCGTGCCAGCCGAGCAGCAAAAAGGGAGGAATGGCACTTTCTTCGATGTATGCAGGAAGGGGCACGGGCTGGGGCAGCGCGTGCGGCAAGGGGCCTTCCAGGCGAAGCTCTTCTGAGTGTTAATGGGCGATCTTGTGAAGGAGGTTTACACCATCCCGAACGAGAACAGCCAAGGGTAGACTGATCCGCTATGGGAGAGCAGCCAACCATCAGGAGCGCGATTGTGAGTCTAAACTCGCATGGCGCGAGGAGTCGTGCTTCGTGTTCGCAATCGCAACATTGACCGAAGTAACAATCCAGCACAATCGTCCCCCTCCTCCTCCTCCTCCTCCGCCTCCTCCTCCACTGCTCCATCCTTTACATCCGTTTCCACGTTCCCTTCAACATCCTCCGCTCTAGTATCATACTCGTCCTCCTCCCCCGCCTCCTCCTTCTCCCCCCCCCCGCAGGAAGGAGACCACCTCCACAAGAAACAGCGCTGGAGGAGCCACAGAACTTGCGGGACCGTCGAGTGCTCCTCCTGCTCCACCTGGCCCTGCTGCCGCTGCCGCCGCTGCTGCCGCTGCTTCTGGCCCCTGGCCTGCGAGCTCCTGGCCGCAGGCCGTCAGCTGAAACTCGTGGACGTCCAGCGTGCCCGTGTGGGGCAGGAAGACCTGCCCGCGACGGCACGAAGGCAAGATACGGTCGAACTTGGGACAGAAGAACATCCTCCAAGAACACGAGGACCCGGCCAAACCGAAGAGAACACTCGAGGGCTCCCGCCCCCAGGATGCACAAAAACATCCAACAAAACACGAAGAACACGAGTGCACACTCCCCGAACCGACGTCGACCTTCTACACATCGGGAAGACATGCCTCGGGGATCTCTGGGAACGGGCGGCGCTGGCGGGAGTGCTGGGCGCCGCGGCCGTTGCAGCTCGCTCGAGCACAGTCCGATGGGGGGCTCCGACGGCCCGGGAGCTCTGTCCCGGGGCTTGCCCGTGGGTACCCCAGTCTGTGCTGCGCCAGGAACACGGTCCCTGCAGCGACCCGCTCCCACAACTTGGGCGTTCTCGGCGGGGTCGTACTCGGGCTCCCTGGGAATGTCCAAATACAGCCCGCGGTCAACTGCGGTCGAGAGCTCAGTGGGCCCTGGAAACGACAGGGCCGTTTTTTTACCGGTTCCGTTTTGCCTTTTTTTGGCCGGTTCCGACGCCATTTTTTGTTACCGGTTCCGTCGCCGTTTTTTGACCGGTTTCGGCTCTGGTTACAATCCTGGAGCCGTTGTTTTGCTGTTTCCGGTCGCTGTTTTTTTGCCGATTCCATTTTCGAGGGGCACTTTTTTGGAAACGGTGAAAAAACGGCCCTGCCGTTTCCGGGGCCCACTAAGGCCGAGAGTCCCCCTGGGCTGGCGCCACGAACAATCACGCCGCCGAGGATCTGGGGCAGGGCCAGGCCGGCCCAGAGCGCCGGAAGAGCAACAGCAACGCCGGGCGCCAGGGCTCGCACGTCGAGAGGGCACCCCGCTCCGAGGGATGCGATGCGGGCAAGCACGCAAGTATTGCCCACTTCGCAAGCCCACGCACCTTGGCAGAGGCAGCCAGTCAGCCTGGATTCAGCACCGCTCATCTTCTGAAGGGGCCCAAGGACACACAAACAAATGCACACAGATAACAGGATTCCCCTTTTTTTTGAATATTTTTGGGACTGTCGTCTTCCCCCCCCACTTCCCATAGTTTCCCATCTTTTCGGGGGAATCGACGATTCATTGTGTCGGTGTGTTTTTTCCCCTCCCAACTCATCGCTCGTGCCCTCGCAAGCCACCCCTTGCGCCAACCGCTGCGGGTGCCGTCTCCGGCGGCCCAGTGCCTCTGCGCTCCCGCTCCCCGCCTCGAGAGGGGCCTTGAGGAGCTGGCTCCCCGTGGAGGGGAGGGCCCTCCCCTCCACGGGAGGGTCCTCCTCTGCATGGGAGGGTCCTCCTCCTCCTCCTCCTCCTCCTCCTCCTCCTCCTCCTCCTCCTCCCCTGCATGGGAGGGTCCATGGGAGAGTCCTCCCCTGCATGGGAGGGCCCTCCCCTGCATGTAGAGGAGAGAAGAAGTGAAAGAGGAAGTCGATGATGCGAGAGGAGGGCGGGGGGGAAAGGAGCAGCGGCGGCCGCAGCAGGAGGTGCGGCGGTTGCAGCAGAAGGAAGAGCGGCAGCAGAGAGAGGGGAGACCTGGCCACGAGGGCCAGACTCGGCAGTATGTGCAGCGCAGTGCCCCCCCAAACACACACACACACACACCAACACCAAACACACACACACACACACACACACACGCGCGCGCACGCACATACGCACACACACACACACACGCACACACACACACGCGCACACACACGCACACATATTCGCACACACGCACTCTTTTGAGCGTCGCGGGCCAGGCCGAACACACAGGCCGTCCGAACGTCACCGCCAGTGCGAGCGCGCCGACAGGGAAGGAAAGCGAGTCACACGCAAACGCGCGCACACACACACACACCTCCTCCCTCCTCCCTCCTCTCTCCTTTCTCCCTCCTCCCTCCTCTCTCCTTTCTCCCTCCTCCCTCCTCTCTCGTCCACGCGCACGCGCACGCGCACGCGCACCCGCACACGCGCACGCGCACGAAGACGCACACGCAACCGCGCACACGCACGCGCACGCGAACGCGCACACGCACACGAACACGCACACGCACACGCACACGCACACACACCCACGCACACACGCACACACGCACACACGCACACACGCACACACGCACACACGCACACACGCACACACACGCACACACTCGCACACACACACGCACACACACGCACACACACACGCACACACACGCACACACAGACACACAGACACACAGACACACAGACACACAGACACACAGACACACAGACACACACACACACACACACGCACACACGCACTGCTCCCTCGGCGAGCGCGCGCTGCTTCGACACGCTGGTCAGTGGGGGAGGGCCTGCGAGAGCGGGCCTGGGGCGCAGGCCGGAAGGGTGGAGCGTGGGACGGCGGCAGAGGGGACGCGGCGGGGTGGACTTGGACGAACACATGATGAGGATGACGATCACGATGACGATGACGATGATGATGATGATGATGATGATGATGATTATGATGATGATGAGGATGAGCATGAGGATGGTGGTGGTGGTAGTGGAGCTGATGGAAACTGTGATGGTCATTGTGATGGTGGTGACGGTGACGGTGATGGTGATGATGACGATGCTTATGCTGATGCTGATGAAGATGATGGTGATGATGGTGATGCTGATGCTGATGCTGCTGGTGATGATGGTGGTGATGATGGCGTTTTTGATGATGATGGTGATGATGATGATGATGATGCTGATGATGATGATGATGATCCACGCATCCAAGAAGGTCTGGAGCTCCCCGCTCGATACAGCCTCCCGAAGCCATGGCCTTTCCCTCTGGCGCTGCGGACGCAAGGCCTGACCCGTGCCAAGGCACACTCGCAGACTCGCCTGAAAACTAGAGGCCACGCCATCCGCCTCGGCCGAGGCAAGCGGAAGGCAGGGCACCGAGCATTCACGGCAACTCAGCTTGCTGGCTGGCGGCACAGAGCAGGGCAAGCTGGGGCGCAAGAAGCGCAGACGCTGCCCAAGAGGGGCGGGAGGGAGTGAACCCTGGCGTGTGCCGAGCCCCACGGGGCACAGCCTACGCCACGGGGTCCCTCCCCCCCCAGAGGCAGCAGCTCGGCGCAGGCATTCGTGATCCTTGGACCCGCCTGCGACGCGAGCATATCCCGCGAAGGCACATCGGGCATCTGAGCGTCTAAGGCCTGGGGCGCCTCGAGTGGGACCCCGAGGAGGAAGCTGGCCGCTGCGAGGGCCAACCGCGAGGCGGCCGCCGCCTCCAGAAGCTCGCCTGCAGACAAGAAGCCTGTGTCGATGCCATCGCCGCTGTAGGGAACGGATCGGCCGCCGACGTCGCCGAACCCGTCGCCGTAAGTTCCTGCAGGGGCAGTGGTGTCGCCCGCAGCAGCTGGGCCAGCGCCTCGGGGGACTCTGAGCCTCCCCCCCGCTGCGCAGTGCTGCTGTATGATCGCCTGCAGGTCGTCCACCTCGATCTCATCCACGTGGACTCCAGGCGCCGCGGCGCCCTCGGGAACCACACCCACCGTGTCGCCCTCGAGCTCGTCGGGAACGGGGGTCGCAGCCGCCCACATCAGCTCGTCGGCGATGCGCCTCGTGTCAGTGGGATCCCTGCCGTCCTCCACCACGAGGGACGAGAGCGAGCCATCGGATGCGTCGTCGTTGTGCTTGCCCGCGGCCGCTGGCGCATCCGAGCTCATCGCGATGTACGCCTGCAGCTGCTCCCTGAGCGTAGCGAGCTGGTCCCGCAGCGCATGCTCCGCAGCAGCCCAGCCTTCTCGTAGGGAGCGGATGTCCTGGGCCTGCTTCGCGACCAGAGCCCTGTACTGGGTGCGGTCCGACGCGGGATGGTGCAACTCCCCCCTCAGCAAGTCCAGCTGGTAGTCGGAGCCGAAACCGCGGCCCAGGTCCACGTCGGCGTTCGCGTCCCTGTGCTGCCTTGCGCCTTCCAGCTGCTGCAGGAGCGCCGCATCCCGCAGGTTCGATTCCAGCGCCTCCGCGAGCCGACAGGGGCTGCTTTCGAAGGTCCAGGCGAACCCAGTTGAGGCCTGGCACAACCGCAGCCTGTCGGGCAGGGATAGCATGCCAACGATCCGTACCTGGAGCACCTCGGGCAGCGGGGCCAACAGGGCAGCGGCAGGCTTGAGCGCGGGCCGCTGTGCCGCCTCGAGCCGCAGGCGCTTGACCCGCCGCAGGCGATCGAGGTGATCCTCGCCCCCCAGGAGCTCCGTCTGGACGCTGCCGTCCACTGCCACGGCGACGACCTGGTTCGCGAAGCTCACGATGGGGGGGCGCCGCCATCCATCAGTGGCGGCAGCGCCGCCCAGCACTGGGCGGTCCATGGCACCAGGAGCCTGGCAGTGCTCGTCGGGTGCCTCACCGTGGTCGCCGAAGGGCAGCGCGGCCGCCTCCGGGAGCGAGGGCAGCCAGCCCAGGCGGGGGCCTGCGGCGGCCCGCGAAAGGCCCGCTGCGGACGCGCGCGCGAATCCGCCCGCAGGGACCAGCAGCGCGTGCCACGCGGCGTTCCGCCGCCGCCGCATTGCGCCTGGGACGCGGCATCCCGCGGCGGCTCGGCGCAAGGCGGGGCGCGCAGCAGCCTCCCGGTCCTGCCAGGAACCTGGGCCGCCGCTGGCCGCCTTGCCGACTGCCGCCGTGGCGGCGAGGAGGCGCCGCGCCCGCGCCCGACGGCGGGCCGCCGAGGCGCCTACCTCAACCTCCTCCTTCCTGCGCAGCGCACTGCCACGCCTGGTGGGCCGCCCCGCCATCGCGCCTGCGGGCAGCCCCCCGTCGCCATTGCTCATCTCCCAGTCGCGCGCCGCTGACCGCTGCGCGTGGGCGCCTGCGAAAGTCCGGAGAAACAGCTTGAGCCAAAATGGCTACGGATGATGATGATGATGATGATGATGATGATGATGATGATGATGATGATGATGATGATGATGATGATGATGATGATGATGATGATGATGATGATGATGATGATGATGATGATGATGATGATGATGATGATGATGATGATGATGATGATGATGATGATGCCTTTCGTTGTGAGCGCTAGGCCCGGGCCTGTGGCGTGTCTTTGGTGGCACTCAGGGGCTCTGCCTATTCCAAATGTGCCCCTGGTGGCATAGCGGGTTGAGCCTAAATTCAGCACTACGGGCTGGGGAGGAGTACAGAGAGAGCCCCCCCACACACACACACACACACACACACACACACACACACACACACACACACACACACACACACACACACACACACACACACACACACACACACATACACACACACACACACCGAGTGACGTCACTACAGCGAGAGCAAAGGCGGCGCTCGCTTGGCGCCAATTCCACCTCACGTGGCAAATAGGGCAGGGCAAGTCGCATGCGAAAAAAGGGTGGTGGTGGCTGTGCTGGGCGAGCATTTGCAAAGAACATCAAGCGTACGCCGTGAAAGGAAAAACCAGCAAACCGGTGAGTGCCAGGCAAACCAGACCCGGACTGCCCCCCTCCACCCCGAAAAGAACTCACCAACACACAAATACAAATACAGACACAGATCACAAACCAGTGCCAAGACCTCCTCACATCCCCTCTCCACGATAGCACATCATGAGTTCTATTTTCCTCTCTCCCCCGACAGCGTGCGGTCATTCACTCGCCCCTCCCGCGCACCGATTACAAATTGACCTCCAAGTATTTTTGTCCGTCGGAACGCCTTCGGTCCCCCAAAGCGGTGCTCTCGCTGCAGCATTGACCAAACTTCGGGACGGGCACATCGCACCAGTCGTTCGGAGCGGCGTTGCAGCCGAAGGGGACCAGACCCTATCTCCTACTCCTCCTCCTCCTCCTCCTCCTCCTCCCCCTCCTCCTCCTGCTCATCATCATCATCATCATCATCATCATCATCATCATCATCATCATCATCATCATCATCATCATCATCATCATCATCATCATCATCATCATCATCATCATCATCCTTCTCCTCTTGCTCCTCCTCCTCCTCCTCCTCCTTCCTCCTCCTTCCTGCCTCGTCGCGATCGGCATCCTCCTTTCCCCTCCTCGGCCCCCCCCCTCGCTCCTGCTTCTTACCCTTCTCCTCCTCCTCCTTCCCCAGTGCATCAAAGGCCCCGCACTGCCAGTTGTGCAGCCAACGAGTGGTCAACACCTGCAACTGCCATTTACGGATATCAAGGTGTTCTGGGACATGCGCGCGGCGGAGGGAAGAGGACTCGGCGCAAAGATAGAAAGGAATGGGTGAGAGAAGTAAGATGACAGATGTGGCGCCAGCGCGCGGGACATGCGCGCGGCGGAGGGAAGAGGACTCGGCGCAAAGATAAAAAGGAATGGGTGAGAGAAGTAAGGTGACAGATGTGGCGCCAGCGCGCCGAGCATTGTTCTAAGCCTGTATGAAGGGGCCCCAGGACACACACATAAATACACACAAATAAAACTATTCCCCGTATTTTCTGGGTTTTTGTCTTCCCCCCCACTTCCCATATTTTCCAATATTTTTCTGGGGAGTCGACGATTAATTGTGTCTGTGTGCTTCTTTTCCTCCTGACTGTACCCCTCCTCTAATCTGAGTCGGGGAGGCAAGCGCATTCGAACGTCTGGACTGGAAACTACACATTCTTTCGGGTGGGTCCACTTGTCCAAGTCTACGGGGTTTCAGATCGTTCCGGAGGGCCCTCCCCCCTCACCCTGACATCCGCCGTTGGAAAAAGTGCACGACATCGCTCATCAGAAGCAGCCCGAGATCTGTCGTCCGTTTGCCACGACGTCGGCGGCCTGAGAAACCTTCGGACGCTTGCACTGTTCACGTCGCAGCGCGGCAGAGGAAGTCCGCACGCGCGCTCGGGCGGGCCGGGAGACTGCAGGCGCTAAACTGTCCAGCGGCAAGAGAGAGAGAGAGAGAGAACAGATGGAAGAGGCGACCGCGGGGCGGAGGGAGGGAGGGAGCGCGCTCACATGGCGGAAGCCGCAAGAGCGTCGCTTGCACAGGCGGCCTGAGATGGGCAGTTTGAGCGTGTGCCGTCCGCTTTGGGACACGATCCGTCTTCGCGAACCCCACGCCCACACACCTGCCCAGCTCCCTCGCGGCACTACACCCTCCCACCCATTTGTTCTCTCTCTCCGTGCCCTCAGACGAGGCGCCAGGACTAGGCTACAATCGGGCGAGGATACCTCGAGGATCTCTGAGATCCAGCGGCTCTGGAGGATGTCTCGGGCGCGGCGGCCTTCTCTGGAACGGATGTGCCCTCGTCCTAGCCCCGTCCGATGCCCTCCCTCTTCGACTCTTCGCCCCCCTGCCTCGCTGAACCTCCTCCCGCCGGCTGCGACCCTATGACGAGACGCCCCGTGACGCCGACCCGCCAGGGGCGCGGCAAGTCTGGGCACCATCCCGCGCCCGTGCTGCCCATGGCTCACTGGTCGGTGCGGGTGCGCCGGCCGATTCTACTTTGGACGCTCGACATGGATACGAAGACAAATATTTTTCCCCCGCACCAGAGATGTCACTGCGTTCAATCAAGGCGACTCCAAGCCTGTCAATTCGCACACTCTGCTGCGTGCGAACTGGCGTCTCGCCCGTGCTGGCGGAACCCCGTCACGTTTTTGATAAGGCATCTCACAAAGCAATGCGAAGACTACAGTGCCACGTGAATCGAAATGATGCGCGACGAATGCCAGCAGCGACGGACAACACAACAGAGAGGGCAACAGACCTGCGGTCGCACTTGGTACGGCCAGACCTGGGACAAAAGACCGCCCTTCAAGAACACGAGACCCTCCACCCGCCAAACTGAAGAACATTCGAGGGTGCCCTCCCCCAGGGGCACAAGGACGCCCAACAAGCGCGAAGAACGTTAAGGTACCCTCCCGTGCTGTCCAAAGCCGACGTCGCCAGTCGGGCAGGCGCCTGTCTGCCGCCTCGAAAGCGGGCAGCGCACGCGGCCACGCCGACGGCGAGCCCTGCCCAGAAGGGACAGGAGCTGCTGCCGGCCTTCGCCACCGGTCTTCCGCACCCTCCCCGACCCTCCACAAGATGAGGCGCCAGGACGAGGATAGCTGAAGGTGAAGATGCATCGAGCATCTCTAAGATCCGGCGGCTCCGGAGCCCTCGGGCGCCGCGGCCTTGTCAAGAGCGCTCGGGCAACGGCCTGAGAGCGTCCCTGGACGTTCTGGGGATAGGATTCGTGTCCTCGCCCTGGGCCCCGCCCGATCTCGACCCTCCAGACTCTAGGCGGGCGGCGTGGTGGTCCAGAAAGAACTGTATGGCGAGGGGCTCGTGGTGCAGCACCCTGTAGATCGTCTGCACCTGCGGCCGCCGGAGAGGAGCGGCAAACGGGGCACGCCACGGGGCTCCCGAGGGAAGAGCAGGGCCATCCAGTGGGGGGAGACCATTAGTGGACACTCCCCCGCTCCCCCGAACTCAAAGTTGGCACGCGCGGGGGAGACTGCGGTCGAAGTGCAACTCATCAAACGCACCGCCAACTCTGAACATCGGGGGGAGGGGTGTGCGATCGGCGGGACCCCTGGCCCCGCGCGGCCAACGACAAGAAAGACCCGCCGGGTGGGCCGGATGCAGCGGTGAGATGACGAGGATGCGGTTGCCAGCAGAAAGAGAACAGAGAGAGAGAGAGAGAGAGAAACATAACAAATAATTATAGAAATAGGGAAGGAGCTAAAGATATATATATATATATACTAGAACCATGCGCGCGCTTCGCGCGCGCGCTTAGGTTCTAGCGCAGACGCTGGCGACTGCAATGTCGAATGGTCTGAGCCTTCTTGGCCCGTCTTGGGGCCGTCCTGAGGGTCTCTTGGGTGGTCTTGGGGCGGTCTTGGGAGGCTCTTCTGCGCTCTTGGACCGTTGGAAGCTCGAAAACGCGAGAAGCCAAAAACATTGGAAAAATCATTGAACATATACGACTTTGGCCTCTTCGGGCCTTACCGTGATACCTATCAGACTTCTTGGGGTCTCTTGGAGGCCACCTGGGAGCCTCGAGAGCCGTCGGAAGGCTGACTTGGGCTGCTCGGGAGCGTCTTGGGCCATCCTTGCGCATTCTGGGGGCTCCTGGGGGGCGTCTTGGGCCTCCTGGAGCGCTGTGAAGGCTGCCCAGAAAGGCTGGGGGAGCGGTGCCGGGAGCGTCCCCGAGATGTGGCCATATCTGGGCGCCCATGTCCGAGGACGTTGGCATGGGAAACCGCAGCGCGTGATCATTCCAGGTGTTCCGGTGGATTCCAGGAAGACTGCATGTCGTATGAGGATGGCTGCCGCCTCTTGCCCCGAGCATCCCAAACTGCCTGAACGGTTCCCACTCGCCTTCCCCAAACCCAACGCTTGCCCAAGCACGTTCCGGACGGTCTTCGCTGGAACGCGCTGGAACGATCACGCGCTGCGGTTTCCCATGCCAACGTCCTGGGACGTGGGCGCCCTGCCACGAGCGCGTTCCGGGAAGATGCTCCCGGAACGCGCTGAAAAGATATGGCCACATCTCGGGGACGCTCCCGGCACCGCTCCCCCAGCCTTTCTGGGCAGCCTCCACAGCGCTCCAGGAGGGCCCAAGACGCCCCCCAGGAGCCCCCAGAATGCGCAAGGATGGCCCAAGACGCTCCCGAGCAGCCCAAGTCAGCCTTCCGACGGCTCTCGAGGCTCCCAGGTGGCCTCCAAGAGACCCCAAGAAGTCTGATAGGTATCACGGTAAGGCCCGAAGAGGCCAAAGTCGTATATGTTCAATGATTTTTCCAATGTTTTTGGCTTCTCGCGTTTTCGAGCTTCCAACGGTCCAAGAGCGCAGAAGAGCCTCCCAAGACCGCCCCAAGACCACTCAAGAGACCCTCAGGACGGCCCCAAGACGGGCCAAGAAGGCTCCAAGACTGCCGAAGAGGCGCCCAGCACAGCCCCAGACCACTCCAGAACAGGCCCAAGATGGGCCCAAGAGCGGGAGCAGGAGGCTTCCAGAGACCTCCGAGAGGCCTCGGGGACCCCCCAGAGGCCCCCAACACACCCCCCATCCTTGAGAGGCCCCCAAAGAGACCCAGACGAGGCCCCAAGAACAGCCCAAGAGAGCTGCGAGAGCCGTCCCGAGAGAGCCCGAAGAGGGTAAAATCGCTGATTTCCCATAGTTTGTCCTATGTTTTTCGCCTTCTCACGTTTTCCCGCTTCCAGCCCTCAAAGATCGAGGATTTGGAAAACAAGAGAGGGAATTCCAAGAATTCTTAATTTTCATCAAAGTAGAACTCCTACTCGGGGGCCCTACATATTCCATGACATCAGGCCGGTACCGCGCCTCCCGGCTTCTTAACGTTTTCGCAGAGTCTCCGAAGGCCCCAAGGAATCTGGGAATTTTGGATTCGGGTTAGATGCTCATCCATTCAGGACTCAGGACAGTATGCCCGGGCCCGGGCGTACTGTCCAGGCCACCCTGAGCGCGCGCTCAGGTTCTAGCCCAGGCCGGGGGGGCGCTAGACGATCTTGGACAACGCTATCAAGCACAGGCGCGCGACGGCATCTGAGGAGCTTCTGGGGTGTTCCGCATGCTTCGTCAACTGGCTGTTGGAGGCACCTCTTGGGTGCTTCTTGGGGGGGCGTCTGAGGGTCGCTGGGGGCATCGGCTCTGCAATCTGAAGCCGTCATTGGCCGTCTTGGCTGCGTGGAGGCCTGACTTGAGGTCACCTGCGGCCAGATTGAGGCAATCCGGAAGCCTCCCTGGGGCCTCCTGGAAGCACTTTTGACGCATCGAGGGCACTCTTGGGCTATTTTAAAGCCTCTTGGACGTCTCCCAGGGGCCTTCTAGGCCCTCGGGAAGATTTGGGGATCCTCGTCGGACCACTTGGGGGCCTCTTGCGGCCTCCTGTGGGCCTTTTGGGGGAACGCTCACCTGTTGGGTCGCGTTCCCTTTCTTGGGCCTGTCTTGGGGCTCTTGGGGCCCTTTCGGGCCGTCTTGGGCGCCTCAAGCACCGTCCTTGGGCCCTCGCGGGCCGTCTTGGGGCCCTCTTGGAGGCCTCTTCCTGTATATGGGAGCGGTATTGGAAGCCTCGTGGGACGTCTTGGAGCATCGGGATGCCCAAAGGCAGAAAAAATTTAAACCCGTCAAAATCCAATCGTAAAACAATGAGTTGTGCCTCTTGGGGCCACCTTGGGAGATCTCTTGGAACCTCGTCGGCCCTCTTGGGAGCTTCTTGGGGGCCTCTTGGATCCGATTGGGGGCCTCTTGGGACTTCCCGAGAACCTCTCGGGGTAGAAAGCTCGGATTCTCGGTTCGTGTTTCCCTTCTTGGGCCTCTCTTGGGGCCGTCTTGGGGCCCTCTCGGGCCGTCTTGGGCGCCTCAGGCACCGCCTTGGGGCCCTCGTGGGCCGCCCAGGGCCCTCTTGGAAGCCTCTTCGGCTATCTTGGAGCTGTCTTGGAGGCCTCTTCCTCCTCCTCGTCCCCTCCTCCTCCTCCTCCTCCTCCTCCTCCTCCTCCTCCTCCTCCTCCTTCTCCTCCCACTCCAGCTCTCTCTACTCCTGATCTTCCTCCTCCTCCTCCTGCAGCGTGTTCCGGAAGGCTCCCGCCGGAACATGCCGTGCACAAGTGCTGTCACTGCTCCCGCCACCGTGCCCTAGGTGGTGGGTCAGAGGCCTCATGGGTGTTGGTTTGGATCGCGTGGTTGGCCTGTCGGGGACGTCGTGAAGGCAGTTTCGCAGCTTCTCGGCAGCCGTTTTGGGACCGTTGTGGGGCCTCCTCGGGGCTGTTTTGTAGCCTCTTTAGGCCTCGTTTGGGCCTCCTGGGTGCCTCTTGGGGGCCTCCTGGGGCCTCTTGGGGGCTCCTTGGGGCCTCATGGGGCACTCTGCAAGCGGGAGGGTCGAATTTTGAAGTCGTGGTCCCCGTCTTGGGCGCATCGTGGGGCCGTCTTGGGGCTCTGTTGGGCTGTCTTGGGCGACTCTGGGGCCGTCTTGGGGCCTTCTTGGGCCGTCTTGGGGCGCTCTTGGGGGTCTATTGGGCCGTCTTGGAACGTCGGACAGCCGAAAAGGCTGGAAGGCCAAAATCGTTCGAAAACCTTCGTAACATTTACGATTTCGGCCTCTTGAAGCGCTCTGGAGAGGTGTCTTGAAGTGTCGTGGAGTGCCTTGGGGGGCCTCTCGGGCCGTCTTGGGCCTATCTTGGGCGTCCTGGAGCGGTCTTTCGGCGACTCGGGGCCCGCTTGGGCCGTGATGGGAGCCTCTGGAGGCCCTCCTGGACTATTTTGGACCTCCCCGGCCGCCCCGTCCTCCCATGGGGGGTCGGAGGCGGCGGCCTCCGAGGCCCAGGACGCAGAAACCTTGTAAAAACACAGGGAAAATGAGCCCCGGTCCTCCCATGGAGGGTCGTGGCAGCTGTTTTCGGGCCCCGGGCCTGCTCCCATGGGATTTATTTATTTATATATAGTAGTAATAATAATAATAATACTAATAATAATAAATTAACATAAATATAAAGAAGGGCGATATCCGATATGATAAGAGAGGGGAGGACTGGAGGCGAGGCGAGAGAGAGAGAGAGAGAGCGGAGAGAGAGAGAGAGAGAGAGAGAGAGAGAGAAAAAAAAAGAGAGAGAGAGAGAGAGAGAGAAAAAACACAAAAAACAGAGAGAAAAGTGAGAGAGAGAGAGAGAGACAGAGAGAGGAAGGAGAGAGAACGAGAGAAAGAGAGAGGGAGAGAGAGAGAAAGAGAGGAGAACGAGATGAGAAAGAGAGATAGATAGATAGAGAGAGAGAGAGAGAAACAAAAAAAAGAGAGAAACAGATCAGAAGAGCGGTAAGGAGGAGGTGCGTGTAGGTAGGGGAGGGCAAACCAAGAGCGCCTGCTCGGGGTCCTGGAGGTCCACCAGCTCAAGGGGCCAGAGGCTTTCGATCTCGCCTGGCAGGGCCCTCCTCCTCCTCCTCCTCCTCCTCCTCCTCGCCACCCTCGTCCTCCTCCTCCTCCTCCTCCTGCTCCTCCTCCTCCTCCTCCTCGCAACCCTCGTCCTCCTCCTCCTCCTCCTCCTCCTCCTCCTCCTCCTCGCCACCCTTGTCCTCCTCCTCTTCGCTGTGTCTTGAAGGCGGGGCGCACCTGTCCAGAGCGCGGCGGCAGGTCGAGAGGTCGACGCGCAGGCTGGGCCACAAACGGTTCCAAGCCACACCACAACAGCCTCCCAGACACGCGTGGGAGAGAAAGTCTGCTCCGGTTTTGGCAACTCGCCTCCAAGACAGCCCCCCCGGCGAAGACGACGAACTTTCTGGCAGCGCGACGATGACCCCAGCGCGACCGCCAATTTGGGGGTATCATGCTACCGAAGGCATGCGTGCACGCACGTGCAGTGCACCGGGGTGAGGTGCAACGCAATGATGCCCCATGACCTCCATGACCTGCGTATGAAGGCACAGCATAGCACACCAAAACATAGCCAGCGACGTCAAGCCTTCCATGACATGGAAGCAGGGTGCAGCATCGGCCAGCTCAGAATACGCTGCGCAGCACAGCAGCAGGGTGGCATGGCGCGGCGCAGCCCCGCACGGCACGGCATATCAGAGCACAGCGCAGCGCAGCGCGACATTAGAACAACAAAAAAGAACGCCAGATCTGGGCGGATTCCTTGGATCTGCGACAGATCCCCCCCCCTGGCGCGCGGAGCGCGCCAGGGGCGGCACCGGAGGCGCCGCCCAGGGGGGCCCAGCGCGGTGCCAAGAAATCCACGCGGAGCGCCACAAGTTTCTGTTCATGGCGTGTTTTCTTCCTCGAAAGAAGAGGAGGGGAAGAGGCAGGGGCGAGCCAGGAGTGTGGCCGGCGCCGGGGCGGGAGCGTCTTGTCGAGGCAGGCCTGCGACTGGCGGCCGGGGGCATGGGCACAGCCCCGAGCGGAGGGTGCAGCCATGTGACCGCCTCCGATAGGCTCGGCCACCCCGAACGCTGAAGGGATGGGGGGCTCGTCGTTCTGGCCGCCCGCGATAACCAAGGAGGAAAGGCCAACTAGATCGTGAAACCCGTCTCCTCCTCCTCCTCCTCCTCCTCCTCCTCCTCATCCTCATCCTCCGACGGCGGGAACACCCCGATCCGCTGAAGCCGACAGTCCTCGTCCGCAGCCGCCTCCTCCCCCTCCTCCTCCTCCTCCTCCTCCTCCTCCTCCTCCTCCTCCTGCTCGTCGCCCTTCTCCTGATGACACCGACGGCGGAAACACCCCGATCCGCCGAAGCCAACCGTCCTCTTCCTCCTTCCCCTCCTCCTCCTCCTCCTCCACCTCCTCTTCCTCCTCCTCCTCCTCCTCCTCCTCCTCCACTTCCTCTTCCTCTTCCTCCTCCTCCTCCTCCTCCTCCTCCTCCTCCTCAACGACCTCCTCCTCCTCCTCCCCCGCGTCCTCCTCCTCCTCCTTCTCGCCTCCTCCTCCTCCTCCTCCTCCTCCTCCTCCTCCTCCTCCTCTTCGTGGCACTGGCGATGGAAACGCGCCGATCCACTGAAGCCGACTGCCCTCCTCCTCCTCCTCCTCCTCCTCCTCCTCCTCCTCCTCCTGGAGGCACAGATGGCGGAAACACTGAGATCTGACAAAGGCGACTGGTCTTATCCGCCTCCAAGTCCTCCTCCTCCACCTCCTCCTCCGCCTCGTCCTTCTCCTCCTCCACTTCGCTCCAGAGGAAGGAATGCCGCAATCGCAACAATTACTCAAGACTAGCATCGATGGAAAATACAACTGGACTTGCCGAAGGTGCTTATACTGCACTGCTGCCTGGTTGCTGGTGTTTAACTATGCTACGCTGTTCGCCAGGCATGGGGCCGAAAGATAAACGCCCTCACTCGACAAATCCTTGCCAAAACAACAAAGGGGGAGCAAGCTGATTCAAGCACGGCATCTACGACAACATGGAACAATAGTTCCACGCAGAAGCGAAGCTTAAACTACAAGGAGCTGAGGGATGTGTGCAGATGCCCAGAGGCGAATCTGCTTAATTCAGGCGGCTCTTTTCATGGTTATATGAACCACGTGTAGACCAACCGTGTGCGGCTTACTGAGGCCATTCGCCAATGGTGCATGTTGGATCCTCTTCTTGGCAGTCATTGGGCCAGGCTTCGCAAAGTGCTGAGCATTTGTCTCGGCATCTCGATCCGATCGCTTCCGACTGGCATCTTGACGGCAACTGAGCAACGATCAATAACGGGTCTTGCGCGAGATGACACAACGACCTTACGCGGTGGCTCACGCGGGCCGCCGGCGCTGCACTCCACATTGGAGACGAAGGTGCTTCCGCGCGACCTTACGTGGGGAGCTTACGCGGCAATGTCGGTCGCCCACCTGGGATCGCGGCGCCGACAGTCTTCATTGCGCGGCTAGCTGCGGTCGCGATGCTGGCTCCACACATTGCCACAGGAGTATCGCCAAATCGAGTTGGGCACCACGGTGGAACTCGTGGCAGCTGGGGGATCTGTCGAGCGGACCTTGCGATAACTTTACGTACCTCCTCCTCCTCCTTTTTCTCCTCCTTTTTCTCCTCCTTTTTCTCTCCTTCTCCTTCTCCTCCTCCTCCTCCTCCTCCTCCTCCTCCTCCTCCTCCTCCTCCTCCTCCTCCTCCTCCTCCTCCTCCTCCCCCCTCTCTTCGCACACTCCAGCACTCATAAAAAGAACCAGGCCACCGTGGAGTCTGCTGCGGCCCCGCGATGGCGGCGGGGGTGCGTGGAGAGGGGTGAGGACCCCAGGCGCACCAGGTCAACCGACCTTGCGCCCCGCGCCGCTCGAGAAGCGCAGCCGCCCTGGCCCAGACCGCGACGCTCGAAGCGCGACGCTCCTCGCGCCCCCGCGGGTGACCTTCGCGCCCCCCGCGACGTCGTGCGCACGAGCGGCGACGAGACGCCGTGGCCTGAGCACGGGCGGCGGGGCACGGATCCCGAGGGAAACGGGTCCTGGGCCCCGGGACCCGTCTGCCTGCAGGACGCGTCCCCCCCCCCCCCCGCATGGACGCGTGGGGAAAGCTGCCGCGACCGGGGCCCTCGGCAGCCTCTCCGTGCGGGGGTCCTCGGAGCGGGGCCGACGCGCGAGCGGGGGCCCGAGGGCGGGGGCACGAGGCGAGGAGAACGCTCCCGTCGCATGGCTCGGCCCACGACGCCCGGAGTCGAGAGAGGAGATCCACTGCAGAATCGATGTGCCCCAACTACGGTCTCTTCTCCACGAGTCTTCAGGACCCATAGCGCAGGATGTTCGCAGGTCTGCGGGCCATCGGCGCACCTTCCGTACGATCTGACGAGAAGCTCAGCTCTGGGGTGCATCAAATTCTACAGCCTGGCCCTGTCCACGACGCCCACATGTCACTCCCAGATATCCCGTGATGAGGGGGAGGGGCCCTACGGTCCCCAAGACCAGCTTTAGGCCGGGCATGTACTCCTACAGGCGGATTTTGCAAGAAACATAAAAATAGCGAGAACATGCTCAAACATAGCCAACAAACACGAGACATAGTCCCAAGACAAAAAACCATACTATTCTAGCATCTTCCTCCTGTAGAGGGACATGCCCGACTGAAAATCCTAGTCCCGTCCGACTGTGCCCGGAGGCTGATCTGGAAAGGCTTCTGCCGTCGCGCGCGGGGGATATAGAGGCCTCCAAGACGGGATCCGAGCAGATGGAGTCGGAGGATCGCGCCGCATCGCCGATGCATCGCCGGTGCATCGGCAATGCATCGCCGATGTGTCGGCGATGCACCAGCGACGCATCGCCGACGAGGGCGAGGCATCGGCGACGTCGGCGTGGGGAAACACGGGCTCACATCGAACCGCATCGTCGATGCATCGAGGATGCAGCGTGAGCCCCCGACCCCATCTAGTCTCGGCTATACGCAAGAGTGACCCTGGGTAAGAGTGACCTTTGGTGCGCGGCATTAGGGGGGTGCGGGGGAGCCAAACCCAGGCACGCAAGCCGCTGGTATCGCAGCGCGCTCGGCGATCGGGGGACCCACATGGGCCCGCACTTAAGGTCACTCCTGCGAAAGGTCACACTCTTACGTCTAGCCGATACTCCGACCCCATCTAGGAGGCTCGAAGGATCGGTGCGGGCCTGCGCCCTCCGTCGCGTCGGGCCTCCGCCTGGTGTATACGGGATCCTGGTGCATACATTGTGCGTTGTCTCCCTTGGAAAGCGGAGGACAATTATACACCACACCACCACGATGTCGCCCCAGACCTTGCAAAAATCTGGGGACTGAAAAACAGCCCGCCACTGGTAATGCACATGCTCCAGTTCCCGACCATCTGGGAGGCCCAGAGGAGGGGTGCGGGCCTGCGCCCTCCGTCGCGTCCACCGACGGCCGCCCGGCGTGCGCCGCGGCGCCGCCCTCCGTCGAGCCGGCGCTGGCCCGGCGCTCGTCCAACGGCGAGCCGGGGCCGACGGCGAGACCTCCGCGTCGGCCCGCGTCGGCCCGCGGCGCGGCAGCGGCGCGCAGGTTGGGGGCTCCTCCTCCTCCTCCTCCTCCTCCTCCTCCTCCTCCTCCTCCTCCTCCTCCCTCCCTCCCTCCCTCCCTCCCTCCCTCCCTCCCTCCCTCCCTCCCCCCTCCCTCCTCCTCCTCCTCCTCCTCCTTCCTCCTTCCTCCTCCTCCTCCTTCTCCCTCCTCCTCCTCCTCCCCTCTCCTCCTCCTCCTCCTCCTCCTTCTTCTTCCTTCTTCTTCTTCTTCTTCCTCTTCCTCCTCCTCATCTCCTCCTCCTCCTCCTCCTCCTCCTTCCTCCTCCTCCCTCTCCGCCTCCTCCTCCTCCCTCTCCTCCTCCTCCTCCTCCTCCTCCGCCTCCTCCTCCTCCTCCTGCTCCTCCTCCTCCTCCCCTCCTCCTCCTCCTCCCTCCTCCCTCTCCTCCTCCTCCTCCTCCCCATCCTCATCCTCCTCCTGCTCCCTCCTCCCTTCTTCTCCTGCTCCCTCCTCCCTCCCTTCTCCTCCCTCCTCCTCGCCGCCCAGGGCTCCCCGTAGCGAGCATCTCGGGACGGCTCCCAGAAGTGCAGGACTGGTTTGTCTAGCGCGGCTGCGCGCGGCTCGGTGCTCTCGCTCTAGGGACCTTCCTGGAGATACTCGCTCCACTCGTGCGTCGAAGCTGCGTCGATCACGTCCGTCGACTTGAGTCGACCCCGAGTCGAACCCGAGTCGAACTGGAGTCGAACCCGAGTCGAGCCTGAGTCGAGCCCGAGTCGAGCCTGAGTCGAACTGGGGTCGAACCTGCATCGAACCTCGGGGTCGCTCCGGGGTCGAACCGATCCGTCAAGCGGGCCCCGGGGAAGGGCCCCCCCACGGCACGCAGCTTGCGCGCCACGGGCAGAGCGCGGGCCTGGCGGCGGGCAAACGGCCCCGGCCAGGGTGGGGCCCCCCGGGGGCACGCACGCACCACGAGCGGACACAAGTCACTTTTAAGTCGGGCCTGTCCCCCTCCCTATACAGGGGGACTTTCGACGAAAAATTACCCTGGCGACGTACCCAACCCCTGCGCAAAAGCGGGGCGCAAATAGTTTAGGATACTTTATAAGGGGGCGATGACGGAGCGAGGGTTACATATGTCTGCAGACGGAATTCGGGAGACTCGCAGGACACTGGCTACAGGAAAAGGGCTTGATAAAGCTGATGATTTACAATTCCTGAGCACTCCTAGCCACTTCGAAAACGGGGATCACAGCAGGCCTCGAAAGTGGCGACAGGTTCACAGATCGCAGCCCCGCAGGGATGGCGAGGTCTCATTTGAATCTGCCCGTGGCCCTCACTGTGCTGGGCCCCCCAGCAGGCCTCGAAAATGGCGGCAGTTTCGCAGATCGCAGCCCCCCAGGGATGGCGAGGTCTAATTTGAATCCGCGCGTGGCCCTCACTGTGCTGGGCCCCCCAGCAGGCCTCGAAAATGGCGACAGTTTCGCAGATCGCAGCCCCCCAGGGATGGCGAGGTCTAATTTGAATCCGCGCGTGGCCCTCACTGTGCTGGGCCCCCCAGCAGGCCTCGAAAATGGCGACAGTTTCGCAGATCGCAGCCCCCCAGGGATGGCGAGGTCTAATTTGAATCCGCGCGTGGCCCTCACTGTGCTGGGCCCCCCAGCAAGCCTCGAAAATGGCGACAGTTTCGCAGATCGCAGCCCCCCAGGGATGGCGAGGTCTAATTTGAATCCGCGCGTGGCCCTCACTGTGCTGGGCCCCCCAGCAGGCCTCGAAAATGGCGACAGTTTCGCAGATCGCAGCCCCCCAGGGATGGCGAGGTCTAATTTGAATCCGCGCGTGGCCCTCACTGTGCTGGGCCCCCCAGCAGGCCTCGAAAATGGCGACAGTTTCGCAGATCGCAGCCCCCCAGGGATGGCGAGGTCTAATTTGAATCCGCGCGTGGCCCTCACTGTGCTGGGCCCCCCAGCAGGCCTCGAAAATGGCGACAGTTTCACAGATCGCAGCCCCCCAGGGATGGCGAGGTCTAATTTGAATCCGCGCGTGGCCCTCACTGTGCTGGGCCCCCCAGCAGGCCTCGAAAATGGCGACAGTTTCGCAGATCGCAGCCCCCCAGGGATGGCGAGGTCTAATTTGAATCCGCCCGTGGCCCTCACTGTGCTGGGCCCCCCAGCAGGCCTCGAAAGTGGCGACAGTTTCGCAGATCGCAGCCCCCCGCAGGCAAGACAGGAAGAGGCAAGAGGGAGGCGGGAGGCAGGAGGAGTGACGCGACCACCCTGCTCTATTCAAAACGAATACCCAACCAAGGAGGGTTGGGAATAAGAAATACCCCCACAAATGCTACAACAAGGCCCAAACAAATGCTCAAAACATAATCCCAAAACTATGTTTGTATTATTTTTGGACTATCTTTCATTTTTAGTCGAAAATCCCCCTGTAGGGGGACAGGCCCGGCTTACACAAGTCCCAGGAATCCTCCGGCATTTTCCTGCACATTTTCTGGGTCTTCGCCTCCCCCCCCCCCACTTCCCCCGATAGCCTCTCGATGCCTCTCGTGCTCGCGTGTGCGTTCTCCCTGCGGGCGGGTGGCTCCCCGCAGCTACTCCCTGAGGGACGGCGGCTGCGAGGACGGCGGCGACCAGAGTCGGGGCAGGCAGAAGGCCACAGTGGGAACTCGACCACGAGAACCCTTCCACACGAAGCCCCATCCTGAGGCCCCAGGAGTCCTGGGGTTCTCAGGGTTTGGGGTGGTGCAATGGGTTCGGGGGATTGTATTGCACATGCATTGCCTATTGCAACCCCGCGAATCTGCTGCACCAAATCGCTGGACCCCGTTTTGGGTCAACCAGAAGGGCTTCCATTAATTTTTGGCGTGGGAGCGTCACGCTTCCCGAAGCAGAACCATCGAAACCCGACAAACCCAGGACACCCGGGAGGCAAGCAGGGTGTTTCTTGGCATGGGCTCCCACCGTAGGATAGCAAAGGGTGGGGTAGAAAGAGTCGGCTCATGTGGCCGGTTTTCCTGGCGCCTCTGGGCGCCGGGAGGCGCCCATGTATCGAGGAATGCGCCCGGCGGCGGGTGGAAGCTAGCTGCATGCATCAGATTTCGTACCCCCCCCCTTTCCCTATCCTGCAGTAGGTGCTCGACCACAAGAAACCTTCCACAAAAAAACACCCTGAGACCCCAGGAAAACCGTTGCTTTCTGGTGTGGGAACGTCACGCTTTCCATCGCAAAACCATCGAGACCCAAGAAACCCAGGGCACCCTGGAGGCAACCAAGGTGTTTCTTGGCATGAGTTCCCACTGCACCCTTTCCCGCGACCCGACAGAGGTCGTTCAGGGCTGATCGACCTCTGCAGTCCCTCGACTCGCGCTGGGGCGTGCATGATCTGCTCCCTATGGATCTGCTTTGACGCAACCAGGTCTACTTCGATCTATACCTGGATTTCAATCTACACCTGGACTTAATTACCCTGACTTCTCAGGCCTGATCCTCGCACGTCGATTGGCGAAAAGTCGTCCAGCCCACAGACACGAGGCTCCGAAACATCGAAACGCATGGCGGGCCTCCTTTCTGGAGGCTTGAGGGCTCCGTTGTGGGGGTGGTGATGAACAAAAAACCCGCCTCGACGAATACCGGAGCAGCGGGGGGGGGGGGCCGGCAGCACCCCGATGGCACAGCCACCGTGCTGCAACCCCACGCACGCCGCGCACTGACCAAGGGACCACAGGACGGAGGTCCTCCGTCCTGGTCGGCCTGGTGGGAGCCCTCGCCAGGCCGCGGGGCCGCCCGAGAGACACGGCCCGGGGGGAAACGCCGGCCATATGGGGACGGGTCGGGACTTCCCGGGGGCGGGCGCGGGGCTATGGAAACGAGACCCTGAGATCCGACGCTGCAGCAAAACTTGCCGCATCGCAGGAAGTCACGCCCGGAGCCCCGGAGCCCATCTTGCCGCATCGTACTTCTCGAGCCGCATATCCATCTGTGAGGCTCCCGGGGCCCGAGACTCGGTCGAAAAACGCCCGCTGTGGAAAAAAAGCATGGCCACGCCAGGATTTCGGGGGACCTCGCGTGGCTGGGCCTCGACCTTGCACTCTGCCGATGCTCGGAGCCGGGCGAGCCAAGCCCGGGCCCGTGCATGTCAGACGGCTCCGAAAGGCCACGGGCCTGCGCGGTCGCGCCTTCGGCGGGGCCACCCGCCGCCGCTGCCTTGTGGTCTGGGTGGCCCACAAGGGGGTCCAGCTGAAAGGGGATGGTGCAATAGATTTGGGGCGACTGTGTTGCAAGTGCGCGGCGCCGGGGAATCGTAAGGCCTTGTGTTGCAAGTCACGTGTGGCACGCGACGATCCAGCAATACACTTGCGCCCCAGAATGTATTGCACGCCCCACGAATGTACTGCAACCCCACAAATCGATTGCAACAAATCTATTGCACCACCCCCTTGTCGCTGGACCCTCTTGTGGGTCAACCCGATACGGGGCGACTGCTCGCCCGCAGGGCAAAGGACCAGCTCGCGGACCCAGCAGGCCGAAGGTGTGCCGGCAGACTCTATGCTCTCTGCCCCGTCTGGTGCATCTACGCCGCGCGCGCGTGGCGGCCCCTGGGGCTCCCCGGAGGAGAATGCCCCTGGGGATCACTGGAGGAGAATTCCCCATGGCCAAGTCCCGGCAAGGTGGGACCTCAGCGGCTGCCGGAACTCCCGAGGGCGTCCTTCAAGACCACGCAGGGCGTCCCTTGAGCGCCGCAAGGGGCTCCGAGACCCGAGAGAGCTCCAAGAAGGCCCAAGAGTCAGGATCAATGGGTAGCAGATCTCGAATTGTCCCGAAGACAATCCTCAGATGCCTCCGAGACGCCCTCGTAGGGCTTCAAGAGGACCCTCTCATCTCATGAGAGTCCCGAGAGGCCGAACTCATCGATCCCCATTGTATGTTCGATGTCAGCACTCTCCCTATTGGGGGCTTCCAACGCTACAAGACGATCCAAGACGCCCGCAGTATCGCCCCAAGACGGCCTATGAGGGCCCCAAGACGGCCTAAGATCCTTCCAAGCCAGCCACAGACTGCTCCAACAGGGGCCCAAGAAAGGGAACATAGACGTGCATTTCTAGCCCTCTCTCCCGGGACACCCCCCTGGACCGCCAGTTAGCTCCAAACGATCCCAGGCCCCAAGAGGCGCCCAAGACGCGCCCAAGAGGCCAGGATGCAAGAAAAAGGCTCCAGATATGCCCTAAGGGGCTCCCAATTGGCTTCCTGAAGGCTCCAAGAAGGACCACATGGCAGGCTTCGAAGAGATCTCCAAAAAGCTCACGACTCCGAAGAGCATCCCAAGAGACTCTCACATGCATCCAAGAGTGCTCTAACCCACAACCCGGGCACGGTGGCGGGATGGACCAAAAGCATCGGTATATTGGTCGCCAGGACTGGCAGGGTGAATCGCCCGACGC